GGCTTCTCATTCTTTTAAATATTGTTTACAGTTACTTTCCTGCTATAGCAACAGAGTCTAAGAGTTGTAACAGAGATGTTATGGCCCATAAATTCGAAAACAGAGGTCCCCAGTCTTTTTTGGCACCGGGACTGGTTTCATGGAAGACAGTTTTTCCACGGACTGGGGTGAAGGGTAGTTTCAGGATAACTCAGGTGCATTACATTTATCATTAGATTCTCATAGGGAGTGCGCAATCTAGATATCTCACATGCACAGTTTACAACAGGATTCTACTCCTGTGAGAATCTGATGCCATAGCTGATCTGACCGGAGGTGGAGTTCAGGCAGTAATGCTTGTTGGTCTGTTGCTCATTGCCTGCTATGTGGCCTGGTTTGTAACAGGCCACACACTAGTACAGGTCTGTAGCCCGGGGGCTGGGGACCCTTGTTCTAAAATACCTACTATTTGATTCTTTACACAGCAGTGTTCTAACTCCTGTGCTAAATTAATTCCAAAATTTTTTTTACCTTTAATGGTGTAAATCTCCTTTCCTTCCTGTGTTTAATTTCAGGGATAGGTAAAACTATAGCAAAATTCATCTTTTTTTAACATATGATACAGATGTAAACAAAATGCATCTTTATAGTTATAGGAGCTTGCAGTTTGCTTTTTAAAAAAATTTTGAATGTATGACTTATTATCTTAGCATTTACTTGAAACCATTTATTACTACCTCAAAATATTTGACTTGATATAGATTTCACTAACTTTTGCCAGTATCATTTTTTAGTAGCTTTATTGTGGCATAATTGACATAAAATAAACTACACATTTAAAGTTTTGACATATATCTCAGTCTCTGAAACCATCACAGCAAACAAGATAATGAAAAATTTTTCATTACAAAAATTTCTTATGCCCCTTTGCAATCCCTCCCTTATACTGATCCACAGGCTGACACTGATCTGTTTGTTGTCACTATAGATTAATAAGGATGTTCTAGAATTTTGTATAAATGAAATTATGCAGTACACATTCTTTGACTCCTTTCACTCAGGATAAATTATTTTTAGATTCACCCATATTGTTTTATTCCCTTGTATTATTGGATATTATTTCATCATACTCATATATCACATACTGTTTAGCCATTCGCTACTGATGGACATTTGTTTCCAGTTTTTGGCACAATAATAGCGGGAGACTTTGACACCACATTATTAATATTCGACGGATCAACGAGATAGAAAATTAACAGGGACATTTATGATTTGAACTCAGGCCTGGAACAAGTAAACTCAGTGAATATTTATAGAATTCTTCACCCCAGGTCCACAGAACATACATTTTTTTCAGTATCACATTATACCTGTTTTGAAAGTGACCACATAAATGGAAGTAAATCACTTTTCAGCATTTGCATAGCATTTCA